AACAGTGGCAGAATACACGTTCTTCATAAGTGCACACAGAACCTTCTCTAAGTAGACCATATGCTAGGTAACAAAACAAGTCTTGGCAAATTTAAGAAGATTGAAACCATACTAACTTTCTTTTTCCATCACAGTGGTGTAGAACTAGCCCAGATATAAACCCATGCATATACAGTCAACTAATCTTTGGTGGAGATGCCAAGAATACTCAGTGGGGGAAAGATAATCTCTTCAATAAATGTTGGGAAACTGGATAACCACATGCAAAAGAATGAAATCTCTGTCTTATAACAACTCATAAGATTTAACTTGAAAGGGATTGAAGATGTAATATAAAACTAAAACTGTGAAACTCCTAGAAGATAACATAGGGAAAAAAACTCTTTGACATTTGTATTGGCAATAATTTTTTGGCATGACCTCAAAAACAAAGATAAACAAATGAGAGTATATCAAACTAAAAAGTTTTTGCACAGCAAACAGTCAACAATAGGCAAGCTATGGAATGGAAGAAAATCTTTTCAAACCATATATCCAATAAGGGATTAATATCCATATTATATAAGAAACTTATGCACCTCAATAGCAAAAAACCAACCAAACAAAAACCAACAACCTGAGCAAAGGATCTGAATAGGAATTTTTCCAAAGACAGGTACACCGAAAGGTATTCAGCATCACTAATCATCAGGGAAATGCAAATGAAAACTACAGTGTATACTCGTTAGGATGGCTTTTATTAAAAAAAAAAAAAAAAAACATATAACAAGTGTTGGTCAAGATGTGGAGAAAAGAGAACCCTCATACACTGTTGGTGGAATGTAAATTGGTAAAGCCATTATGGTAAAAAGTATGGAGGTTCCTCCAAAAATTCAAAATAGAACTCCTACATGTTCCAGTAATATATGCAAAGGATATATATGCAAAGTATATATGCAAAGGAAACAAAATGTAACTATATCTGCAAAGGAAACAAAATCAGCATCTCAGATATTTTCATTCCGTATGTTCACTGCACTATTATTCACATAGGGAAGATGTGGAAACTACCTAGGTATCCAACAGTACATGAATGGATAAAGATGTGATGTATATACAGTGGAGTATTATTTACCCATGAGTAAGAAGGAACTCCTATTTGCAACAACATGGATGAACCTAGAGAACATTGTTAGGTTAAATTAGGCAGAGAAAGACAAATACTATATAATCTAACTTATGTATAGAGTAAAAAAAAAAAAAAAAAAGATGCCAAACTCATTCATAGGAACAGAGAGTAGAATGGTAGTTACCAAGTCTAGGGGGTGGCAGAGATGGCATCTGCTGGTCAAAAGAGTACAGAACTTTAGTTACAAGATGAATAAGCTCTGGGGATCTAAAGTGTAGTATGCAAGTGAAACCTATAGTTAGTTAATACTATAATTAATAATACTGTGTTATATATATATGAAATTTGCTGAAAGAGTAGAAGTTAAGCACTCTTACCATACACACTAAAAAAAATGGTAAAACTATGTTAGCTGATACGTTAATTAACCTGATTGTTGTAATTATTTCATAAAGTATACCGTATGAAATCTTTACAGTGTACACTTTAAATATATACAGTTTTATCAATTGTATTTTAATAAATCCAAAATTTAAATAAAATTGTATTTGTGTGTATGATATCTGAACATAATAAAAATACAAGGGAATACACCAATGCCTTAATAGTTGGTGCTGGGGTGGAGGTTGTTTTTCTCCTCTAAATTTTTTTTAGTGAGCATCTTTTATTTTTAATAACATAAATATATTGTGTTTGGAAAATGGTAACAGGGGTATATTATACTTTAGAATAAAGGTTAGTAGTCTATAGGGATAAGATGGGGGAAAATTTTTTTTCATCATTCTAAAGAATTGACTACTAATAGCATACAAATGTCATTGGTTTATTTCTCAGAGATTAATTTAAAATGTCCCTTGGCCAACCACTAACATTTGACAATTGCTGTATGAAATGAATAAGCTTATATTCTAGAAAATGTATGAAATTACTAGCAAATAATGGGATTTTCTATATGGCTATAACACAGGTCTTTTGGTCAAGAATAGCCAATGATAAGTCTTGAGAAGTTGGTGGAGGCCACATTTAGAAGAAGCCTTTATACCTTATTAAGGAGTTGATACCTCATCTTATAAATAGCTAGGAATCATTAGAAAGGCATAGAAGGGACATAATTTTATTTAATTTGCTCATGAGGAAGATGGCAGTGTGAACTTTGAGCTAGAGTTGGAAAAGGGGAGACAGGAAAATCAGTTAGGAAGCTATTCTGGGGAACTAAGCAAGAGATGAGGATGATGGTAGTTAAAACATGGCAGAGGGGATAAAGAAGACACTCTAGATAACTGAGCCCTAATAGAAGTTGAAGATGACCTTAATATTTTAAACTGAGATTACTGGGTGAATTGTCTTACTAACAACTGAAATATGTATTACAGGAAGAGGATGAAATACACTTTTTGAGAAAAATAAATTGAGTTTTGAACATATAATAGTTGAGACATTTTAATATGAATTTCAGAATGTAGTAAGGTAAGAAATTGTAATAATAGGATAAATGATAGTTCTATTAAGTAACTTTTAAAATCCTCTTTTATCTTACAAGTATAGTAATAGATAATATTAACATGTAATTGATTGAGGTAATTAGAACATCTTTTCCTGACTCTTCTGGCTCATTAGCACCATCCCAGCCTTTCTTATCTCTTATTTGGACTAGCCAACAAGCTTCTTTCTAGTCTCACTACCTCTTTATATATTTAATATACTGTTGATGTGTCTGTCTTCCAAATGGGTAGTGCGACTATATTATTCTCTTCCATTGACATCATGACTATAGCGGGATTCCTTCTTACAGAACTATCCCCCCCTACCAATCTCACCATTGAGACCTCAGCTACCCACATAGAAATTATGCCTGTAGTATATTATCACAGGAATTTTCTGTCTCTGACATTCTGTTTTCAAATTATCTTTTACAGTGAGTGAAATCTGTTCCCTGTAATTTCTTCCTATTGATCTTTATTCCATCCCCAAGACCAAACAAAGCAAATTTAAATCTCACTTTAGTCCTTCTGATACATAGTTAATTCTTGAATAGCATGTATTTGAACTGCATGGGCCTATTTATACATTTATTTATACATATATATAAAATATATATATTTTATAGTGCAGTACTCTAAATGAATTTTCCTTTTGGTTTTCTTAATTTTTTCATTTCTCTAACTTTATTATAAGAATACATACATAATATGTATAACATACAAAATATATTTTAATTGACTGTTTATATTACTGGTAAGTCTTCCTGTCAATAGTAGTCTATTAAGTTTCTGGAGAGTGAAAAGTTATATACGGACTTTTGACTTGGACAGGTGGTTAATGCCTCTATCCCCCACATTGTTCAGTAGTCAGCTCTATAAATATAATAGCCATGACTACAAAGTCTTTTTTTTTTTTCTATGAAATCTTGGTTATACTTTGTATTTCTCTTCCGACTACCTTTACTCTGCCGTGTATTATACCTAATGCTGTTAGCCTAATTTTTTGTCTTTCTCATTATCTGTAAATAATGACTTAAACTTAATAAGATTCCAGGAAATATTCAGTGGGTAGACCTATAATTCTAATTCAGGTCAATTTAAGTAACATAATTGGCATATGTAATAGATTTGCTTGTATGTTTTGCACTTCCATACTACTACCTCAACTACCTCAAAAATTTTGTAAAATTGTGTGATACTTGCGTGAACATGTATGATGCATAGGTACTCAGAATATTAGGAGTGTTGTCCCAGATGTTCACTATTAGCTAACTTGTGAGCATGGTTAAGTTACTTAACCTCTCTTGACAGTAAATAGATAATGGATATTAAATAAGGGCAGTAGGTTTTAAGCACTATGACAGATTTAAAATAGGTGTAATACTGAACGATCACATGGCCACTGACACAAGGGAATTGTGATGTAAAGGAAGATTAAATCTTCTTTACTGTGGTAACACAAAATAATGAGAGGTAACACTTTTTTGATGTGAAAATGCATTCAGTAGAGAAAATTAATGGACAAGCACCATGTCTGAGTTTCTTACAAGGACATCTGAAGTTATTTATTACTCCTGTGAAAATGTGTTCAGCCTACTCTTTACGTAAAAGTGTCTACAATTCATGCATTAAATGTTTATAATCTAGCACTGGTTGATAGAATCTGCATTTCAACTCCAAAAAATTAGTGGTTATGGATAACAGGATATTGATGATCCCATAAAAGAAATAAATTATGAATTCATTGTCTGGAGTTGTAAAGTTGAAGGAGAAAGATTTTATTATAATGTATGACTTGAAAGTAGGGAAAAGCATTTTTAAAAAAATCTTTTCTCAGCAAATTTCTTTCATTGCTTCTCAAAGTCCAGTGTTTCATTCAGCAAATATTTATTGGTACCTACCCTGTGCCAGATACTTTGCTCAAATCTGGAAAGATACAAAGATGAATATTATAGAATCCTGTCCTGCAGGAATTTACCATTTAGTAATGGAAATAACCAGTGCAGAATGTGATGAATTAGAGCACAGATGACAGAGCGACTAACTCTGCTCAGGGAATGAAGATATTTAAGAGACATTTGAGCTGGGTATTGAAGGATATTCTGTCTCTAAAAATGTATTTCCTGCTTATTTGAGTATAATTGATCTTTTAGGGCATTCATCTGATCATATTACCTTTTTAGACTATATGTACATATCCTGGTTTTCTAAATATAACTATTTTTGCTGCTGGTTTTATTATTTACAGTTTTCATATAAACCAAAAAATAGATATTTAAATGGAGATGGAAGGTTTCTTTCTAGGATAAAGTCTGAACTGGTAGGCAATCCATGGAATTGGGAAAAATCTAATCTGTGATGTTACCAGTTCCTTCTGCCTTGTTTTTCCATTCCGTTGGGTTTATTCTTTTACAGTCAGCTTTCATATTCACATTATAGCCCTTTGGAAAGAGACAAACAGCTTCTCTTTTAAAGGGTGACTAGGAAGTTGGGTGCATCACTTCTGCTCATATCTTAAGTACTAAAATTTAGTCTTCTGTTTGCTGTTAGCTGCATGGAAGTATGGGATGTGTAATATCAAGCTCAGTTCCCTAAAACTGCAAAGCAGGATGGGTCTGTTGCTAAAAGTAAGAAGGATAAAATGGATTAGTGGGAGGGATTTAGTTGTTTATGCTACAAAGTAAACCAGGAAACTGATATTATAGAATATGCTGGAAGAAAATTTCTGGTTTTATACTTGGGAGTTCTAATGGAGCAGTTTATTTAGCCTTCTTACTGTCACCTTATTTTATTAGAACTGTCTTTGTCATCCTTTGTTTTTCTTTCTGGATACTACCTGAAAAAAACAAAGACACTAATAGGAAAAGAAAGGAAATCTCAGTGGTAGAAAGAAGAAACTAAGGGGATTAACTTGAGTCTCTTGAGGAAGAAATTTTTATCTGTTTCTTATCCCTGGTTGTCTGTGGAACAAGAACTAATTGTGGGAGGAAGGAAAGGTCAAGAGTTCTAGAGTAAGAACAGCAAAAAAACAGGTGGGAAAGCTTTATTCACAGTAAGAAGTAGGTTACCCCCAAAGGGAGTTTGCACTATACTTCTGGCATTTATCAGGAAGTAGGAAAAGTAGGTCACCAAGGAAGAAATGTGTTGTGGCAATGTGACAGAGAATATGGTGTGGGCATGTGGTCCAGTAAGATTAGTTTCCCTTTCTCAGCTCTCTCAAAAGATGTTCTGAAGTGTAGGAAACGTATTTAAGAGATTACTTAACTATTTCCAGTTCTCAGGAAAGATAGCCAAAGTGTAGGTCCAGGGAAGGTACATTCTTTGGTTTAAATTTATCTAAATGTATCAAGAATATGGATCACTTAGGCAAGTTCAAGAAAGGTATATTCTCTGGTTTTGTACTTATCAAGAACATAGGGTCTTCTTTATGTGTGAGAGGTTGCAGAAAAATCTTAACCCCTTGCAGAAAGAAGCCTCCTATATATTTTTTTCTTCAAAGATTTTATTTATTTATTTGACAGACAGAGATCACAAGTAGGCAGAAAGGCAGGCAGAGAGAGAGGAGGAAGCAGGCTCCCAGCTGAGCAGAGAGCCCGATGCGGGGCTCGATCCAGAAGCCTCCTATATTTAATTCATATGATGAAGTATCTCACAGTAATGAGATAGTATCAAAATATAAAAGTAGAATTACCAGTCAGAATGCCATGTAATTGCCCTGAGATGTGGATTTCCAAGTGCTTGAAAAGATTAACAACTCATTTCTAAATCAATAAACATTAGTTGCAGGTATTCCGTCTATCCTCATCCATCAACAAAAAGATAATCTAAACAGAAATAGAAATCCAGATCCTAGTATCTCACAACAGTTTACATGACCCACATTCATTGCCAATAACACTGACAGTATATGCCATATGAACTTCTTGGTGAATTTATTCATTATTGATCTTACCACTTACAAGGGCTTACGTAAGACTGGTGGTACCCGAGGATGAGACTACTAGACACATCATGGCACATCCTTAGAGTCTTAATTCTTCTCTGTCTCTTTTTTTAAACAATATTTATTTATTTATTTTAGAGGGAGAGTGGAGGGGGCAAAGGGAGAGAGAGAGTCACAAGCAGACTCCACACTGAGCACTGGAGTCTGACACAGGGCTCGATCCCACAATTCTGAGATTGCAACATGAGCCAGAATCAAGAGTCAGATGCTCAACCAACTGTGCCACCCAGGCACTCTTGATTCAGGTCATAAAAAGGTAAAATTATGAACAGTTTAAACTCCTTCAGAAATATTTCTTAATTTAAATGTTCCTAGCATTAAACTTAATGCCTTTGTAAAAGTAAATGAGACTCTTATGTTGCAAATGATTCTTTTGGATCTTTTGCAAAAGTATAAATTGAAGATATCATTCATTTTTCTGCATGTAACATTAATCATCTTGAACTATGCATTCTTTATTCATCCAACAATTAACAGTGTCACATACCTATCTAGGCTCTAGAACAGTATTGTCCACTAAAAGTTTCTGTGATAAGGAAATATGTATTATCCTTTATGGTAGCCACTAGCCATATGTGACTATTGAGCATTTGAAATGAAATGTCACTAATACTACTGAGGAACTGAATTTTAAATTTTAACTAAAATTTTAATAGCTATAATTAGCTGGAGGTTACAGTACTTGTGGCAAAACTATTGAGATACAGTGGTTAAAAATAAAGTCCCTGGGCTGCCTGGGTGGCTCAGTTGTTTAAGTATCTGACTCTTGATCTCTCAGCTCAGGTCTCAATCTCAGGGTTGTGAGTTCAAGCCGAGAACTGGGCTTCACACTGGGTGTGGAGTCTACTTTAATTAATTAATTAGTTAATTATCAAAGTAAGTAGGTAAATGTCTACCTTCTCTCTCTCTTTTTAAAGATTTTATTCGTTTATTTGACAGCGAGAGAGGGAACACAAGCAGGGGAATCTGTAGAGGGAGAAGCAGGCTTCCTGCTGAGCAAGGAGCCCAACAGATGAGGGAGAGGGGTGCGCTTGATCCCAGAACCCTGGGATCATGACCTGAGCTGAAGGCAGATGCTTCTTGAAGTTCATACTTTTCTACTGTGATATCCATGAACCGGTTTAAGCACTTTATTTATTTATTTTTTATTTATTTATTTTTTTAGCACTTTATTGTTCGTAACCTTACTTAAGCCTTTAAAAAATTCTGTCACTTGTTTTGAAACTTTTAATTTTACTTCTTGCTATGGACTGTCTTGCGACCCTCTAAAATTTGTATGTTGTAGCCCTATTCCCCATGTCACTCTACTGGAGATACAGGACATTTAAGAAAATAATTAAGGTTAAATGAGGTCATAAAGGTGAAACATCTACCAAATAGCACTGGTGTCTTTTAAAATAGTCAAGTTATGGAAGGATCTAAATTCCCATTGATAGAAAGTGGATAAAAAAGTTGTGGTATGTATAGACAATGGAATATTACCCTGTCTCAAAAATAATGAAATCTTACCACTGTGACAACATGGATGGACCTAGAAGGTACTACGCTGAGTGACATAAGACAGAGAAAGATGAATACCATGTGATTTCACTTACTTGTGGAATCTAAAAAACAAGACAAAAGAACAAACAAAACAAGCAGACTCGTTTCAAATACAGAGAAAAAACTGGTAGTTGCCAGAAGGAATGGGTGTGGGTGGATGGGGAAAATAGGCAAAAGGGATTAAAAGATACAAACTTCCTGTTATAAAATGAGTAAGCCATGGAGATGTAAAGTACAGTTTAAGGAATATAGTCTATAATACTGTAATCACTTTGGTGACCAATGGTAACTAGACTTACCGTGTTAAATATTTTGTAATATATATAAATATGGAATCACTGTGTTGTACACCTAAAATTAATATTGTATGTCAGCTCTACTTAAATTAAAAACAAAACAAAACAAACAAAAAAAAAAACCAACGGTGGATTTACATGAGAGAAAGAGACACCAGACATCACTCTCCCTCTGTCATGTGAGGACACATATAATAAGTGTACAAGTCCGCAAGTGAGAATGAGAGCTCTCATCAGAAACTGAGCCTGCCCAAACCTTGATCATGAACTTTCCAGCCTCCAGAACTTTGAGAAAAATAAATCTTTATTATTTAAGCCACCCAGTCTATGGTAGTTTGTTATGACAGCCTGAGTATATTAAGACACTTCCAGACTTCTTATTCTTCTCTAGTATCATGATTCTCTTTAGCTTCTGTACTTTCTAGTTGTACTGCTAGTTGCAGTTGCTGTTAAATCTAATTTTCCAGTTACTACTAATTGGAAATTAGTACTAATATGCAGATTACTACTAATCTGTGGTAACTTTACAGAATATATTTGCTTTATTACTTCTGCTTCTTATATTAACATTATGTTCATCTTTGCCTTCCAAGTAATTTTTACCTAAATTTTGTATATGCTTTAGGGACTCTCTTAAATTTTAATTCTTTGAGGAACTTTTCCTCTGCTCCAACCTCTCCCTCTCCTTGAATTGCTGTAGAACTTAGGGATTCTATAAGAATTCCTACAACTTAATAGATGTTTCTTACCTTTCTGTTTGATATCCTTAAACATGTAAAATTCTTCTGGGCTAGGATCTTACTTTTTTCATGAACATCTTCAGTTAGCTTAATCCTGATGAAGAAACAAGAGAAATTGCTTACTCAGGCCAAGGGAATTTATTAAATCCATACAAATTGTTGTCCATCCAATATATCAAGCCTAGCAATTTGAAAAATGTGTTTGATAAATCTTATCTTTGGATATTGCCCTGAAATATTGAGCAGATACTTATTTAAAACAAAACTCTCTGATATTTTACTTTGCATTCTAACAAAGCGAACATCATGCAGATTGCCTTCTGACAGTACTTTGAACCTTTTTTGAATTGGCAAAGTATGAATGAAAGTAACAGGAGAGATTATTCTTTCTAGGTTCCTTTAAACAAAATTTGTGTTTTACATGGAGCACTGGGTGTAGTACATAAACAGTGAATCTTGGAACACTGGAAAAATATAAATAAATAAATAAATAAATTAATTAATTAATTCATGTTTCCAGTTTTCTACTTTAGTATCATAGGGTCACTAATATGCCAGAGGGAATATTGGTATGTATGTTTTTTATTTTATTAAACTCAGCTCTATGAAATAATATTTAGAAAATACTAATGAAATAAGTGTTAGAAATAGGTATTTTAAGTATTTTTTCTTCATTTTAAACATTTTGGTGCACTATATAAATAGTTAAGAAGAATTCTGGGTTTTATTATTAGAAAGCTGAGTATGTTAGTTATATCTTTTCAGCAGAGCTACTGTTCCACAAAGTTACATCAGTACTTAACATAGTTTGGCAAATTAAATTTGAAGTCATTGCATCCTGGTTGTTTAGTAGCACATTGGCAGCAGAAAGATTGGCAGTGTTCTTTCTAGGCAGTTTGTTCATCCAAATACCAAGACGAGGCCTAGTCTGCCTTACATGTCTATAGCTGCCAATTTTCCTGTGGCTTCTTTATTTCTTTATCCTTCTATCCAGCTGCTACTCGCAGCTATTGCCACATTTGCCCTCTGGCTCATGGGATAGAATGCTTAGCTTCCCCCGAGGCTGATGTTAATGCTTCGTTTTTACTCTGCCGGCCGGGAATGCACTTGGCATCCTCAGTCTCAAACCTCTCCTCCCTCTTTTTTTTCCACAGACACCAAGCACTTAAGTAGTACTTTCCGCCTCCACCAGTTATCAGTAGTAGCTTTCAACCCCTCATTTCTGGTCTGGTAACTCAGCACACTGTCCCAGGAGAGCTTGACTAAGCCAATTTGCCTCCTCTTCCCTCTTTCCTCTATCTTCCTTTTCTCTTTTACCTCATGACCCATTTCCCTGTCTCCCCTTTTATTTTTCTTTTACTCTTCTAACTCCTCCCGATGATTTTTTTCTTTCTCTTTTTAGTAGAGTAGATACCACAGAGTTAGGTAGATATTTGTAGTAGAAAATA